GCGGATTCCAATCTGGTCTGTCTCTCATCTTGTAAATTACGTAGTCGATGATACAACGCTTAATATCATCGTCTTCAGTTTCGGTGAGTTTGGTTTTTTCACGAGTTCGTTCAGTTTACCCATGTTGTTCACGAGTTCTCCACGTACATGTTTCAAGGCTTCATCTAAGCCGTACAGTTCCCTCATTGGAAATTTAAAACCAGGCAAAGGTTTGTCCCAGTACGCTCCCAACAGTTTTTCGATGCTGTCCGACGCTTCTGTAGCACGCTGTGTCATGTCACCACCACTACTGAGTTCGGACCTGGTAGCTTGCAGATCTTGAACTACCTTCGGAGGAATCTTAGGCTTTGCACCACCATAATCCTGCATGTTTAGTTTATTACGGATAAATTCGGTACCATGGCGACTGGTTAGCGTTGACAAGGCAAGTGGTTTTCTAGTGCGCGTGTTCATGATATCAACCTCCGGGTTATCCTTAAGGCGTAGAATACCCTTATCATCTATATAAAACTTCGAATAGTCTTTGTACTGAGGCTCGACGTAGTTTCTATCGTTTTTTAATCCATCGTAATAATCGTCTACTGTTGTTTTAAGTAGTTGGCTGCTCAATGATGAGTTAGTAAACGAAATGTCTTTACCGTAATCAACATCATCAGAGGCCAAAGCTCCAAAATCATCCATCGGAATATCATCCATATTTTTGAAATTATATTATATAACAATGTCATATGGTAGAAAACTAAATCCTTTTCGAAGATTAAGAGAACCACTAGGCGTCAAAGCCGTGCGTCAGTCGGTGACTATTACAAACAACCCCAGCAAGATAGACCAGAACCAAGTACTGTTGGTTAGATTCCCCAACTTGGGGGAGAACGACGTAATAGTACCAGGTACGGTACGATTGGCATTTAACATCACGTTGAAATCAGACAACGACAAACGTGAGCTAGTGAATAATGTGGGTCGTGCTATAGTCAAGAGGACCTCCATAAAAATTAGTGGTAACGAGGTGCTTAGCATAGATGACAGCGATGTATATTACTGTTACACAGACCTATGGAAAAGTGAGGGAGAACGCGCCAACGACGTGTACCAGGGAATCAGTAAATCGACTAGGTTACGTATAGGGTATGCCTTCACACAAGAAGAGACAGCCAAACTATCGAAAAGTGAAAAAGCCATCGCCGAAGCGTATGGAAACAGGTTCTGTATCCCGCTAGACTTTGAGTTGCTAACGGGCACGCACCATTTTACCAAGCCGCATTAGGTGACAGGTTGGAATATGAACTCAAGGTTCAATGATTACAGCAAAGTCGTGTATACACCGAACGGTGAAGAGGGTAGTTATGAGATCGATAACATCTCGTTGGAGTTCGACATGGTGACTAATCCTGATCTCGCCCGGCAGATTCGAAATCAGTACTCTGGGAAAATGACCATCCTGTACGATAGGATACTGCGACATAGAATGATATTACGTGATAAGAGCGACACGGTATGGAATATCAACATGAACGTGCCGGCGCGATCGATGAAAGGTATATTAATCATACCTGTGGAGGAATACGATCCATTCGAAAGAGACAGCGAGAAATTTTTCAACCCAGGGATCACCAAAGTGGAAGTGACCATAGAGGGAGTACCTAATCAGCTATTTAGCCATGGAATGAAGGCATATCAGCAGTGGGATGAAATAATGAAGCTACCGGCTATCAAACGAAACTCAATAGTCAACAACGTAGTCAATGACCTGGATCTATCCTCCGTGCATATCGGGGATTACTTAACCACAAAGTACGCATTGTGGTTGGATATGAGATCTACAGATGACGACACTCTACACGGTAGTGGTCGTCGAATCGACAACGGAAGCGAGGGTATAACCATTCAAATAATGAAGAAGGCTCAACCAACTGGTAAATTGAAATTATATTTATATGTAATTATGGACGCGCAACTTAATATAGAGAATGGGAGATTTGTGCAAGCCATCTATTAATTTACCACGAGATCCGCACTGCGCCATAATATGTGGGCAGACGGGTTGTGGTAAGACAGTTTTCGTACTGGATTTGTTGGAGGGGTACTATAAAGACGTATTTGACAATATCATTATCTTATGTCCTACTATAAATATGAACAAGACTTACACGGACAGATCTTGGGTGATGAAGGATCCCGATGTATATAAAATCGATCCGGAAACACACCTGCAGGACTATTTGAAAGTTTATCACAACAAATTTAAAGGGAAGCCGACGCTGTTCATCCTGGATGACTGCACCGCTAATAGAGAGATAACGAAAAAGAGAGATATGCTGTCCTACCTAGCGTTTTCAGGTCGGCACGCAGAACATAGCGTCTGGGTGTCGACACAAAAATTCAACTCTGTGTTAAAGGATTTACGTGAATAGACGCTATGGGTAGCTCAATTTCACTGCAAGGACAGGGATTCGTTCGAGGAATGCTTGAGAGAGAACGATGTGATGAGTAAACTAGACCGGGAACAGGTTAAGAAACAGCTCGCCCAAACTAAACATGTTAAGCTCGTGTTGAAAACCGACCAACCAGTGGATTACCAAGTAATAGTTTAGTAATTTTTAGTAAATTTTAGTAATGTTTTAGTAATGTTTAGTAAATTTTAGTAATGTTTTAGTAATTTTTAGTAAATTTTAGGAATGTTTTAGTAATTTTAGTAAGTTTTAGTATAAATGTCGGTTTTTGAAGTTATAGTCGTGTGTAACCTAATCTTTATCTCTCTGTATTTAGTGTGGGTTGGTTATTATTTAAAAAAAATTAAAACTAGATTACTATATTATAAAATGGATTGTGATGAATTACTAGAACAGATATTAGTTTCAGATGAACAAAAGGACGACAAGCAGCGAGACAGACTGGTAACACTAGTTGTGGGTGGTAAGGCAAAACAATATTTAGGAGATAATATAACTACTGATAAAATTCAGAAAATGTCAGATGAGGAAATAAATAAATTATACGCCAGGTATGAGTCAAAACTCGGGGCTGAGATGACAAAAGTTATAGGTTCTACTATTACCCAGATTTACACATGTATAGCGTCGTTATTTTTACCCATACCACCGGAACGTAGACTATTTGTGGGAGGACCTAGAGAAAGACCCGTTTATTGAACACGCCTTGAGCTCTATCAGCTGCGTGTTGTACCACAAATACGGGATGTTTTTTAGCCCCGGTGACGGCGGCGATTATCACAGCAAAGCATTGTCAATTTAAAGAGGAAAAAAAAAAATAATAATAATATACAAGATGGCTACTACCCAGGAAGAAATAACCAAGATTCCAGAGGAGGAAACACCGAAGACGGAGCCAGTGACGCATGCCACAAAGAAGAAGAACAAAAAAAGAGTTGAAGCTGGTAGAAAAAAACGCCTTAGCCAGGCACCATAAAAATAATTACACATTGTGGTTTACCGTAGGTGGTGTAGTAGTCACTGCTGTTGTTTCATTATTTATGTTATTTAAACCAAAACAAACAACCACAGCCATCACCAACACCTCCAGAGGAGATCAACCCTCATATTATGTTATAATTAAAATTATATTTCTATTAATATATATTATGTCTGAGGGAAAAACATTCGTTAATGATGCATACCACGCCTTAGTGGTTTCCGGATTAGCAGTAGGATACGCTCGGTTGACTAAAATGATTATAAAACAACCGACTATAAAACTCGACTTCGACGTGCAGGATATTGCTATGCTTACTATGAATATTGGTATGGCGATGGCCACCAAGGACGTTCTGATAAAACAAGGTATTATACCGGAAAATATTTTAAAGTAATATATATAATATGGCCACGATAGCAATGATGGTTGGTGGAGCTCTTGTGAATGCCCTAGCATTTTCCGGGATTAAATTACATTTGTGACGTCATTCCATTGTCTGTTCGCTCCATTACTTTTCAGGAATGGAGCGATGTGTACCAGTTTCAAAATAAAACCTTCATTTTGTCATTTTGACATTTAATTTTGATAACAGCAATATTCGCAATACTTCGAATGTAATTTAAGTAGGGTAATATCCTCGTAACTCTCCATTCCTTAAAAAATAATGTGCCTTGTCCCCTCCGGGGCCTCGGCTCCATTATTTTTAAGGAATGGAGAGTTACCTCGGACATTACCCTCTACGTAATTATCTATTTTCTAAATTACGAGAGTCAAACGCGGCTGAGGTAGAAGCGGAGAGAAAACGACACGATATAGCTGTGGATATCAATTTCCTGAGTTTGTTTTCCGCACTCGACCGGACTAGCTTCACGTTAACGCGTTTTCGTAAATTCTCCATCGTTTTACCAAATACAGAGTTGTTCATGAGTTTGTACAGGTTTTTCTCGAAGTCGCTTGTGGCTATCTTACGTAAATCCGTGTTCATTCTGATGTACATGATACAGAGGACAGTTTATATCGATTATATATCAGGACGAATATCATTTTCGTCATTTGGCTAAGATTTGTCAATTCTTTCTTGGGTTATCGCGTTAACAATCTTTATATTGGGAAAACCCCCAAATTTTTGCTGTGACCTTGAAAATTATCTCAGGGTCACTCCATTTCACTTGTGTCGGTGAATCTCGCCAATATACCTTGGTACCAAATTTGAACAAAATCCATCATTTCTTTCTTGAGTTATCGCCCTAACAAGCTTATTTGATGTATGAAATGCAACGAAAAACAAACACACGCGTATTTACGAGTGATTAAAACTGTTATTACAATTTACGTAAATATTTATTACATTTTACCGCAACGAAAACTATTACAATTTACGTCAATTTTTATTACAATTTGCGTATTACAATTTACGTTAATTTGTATTACAATTTACGTCAAGTTTATTACAATTTGCTGCAAGTATTACAATTTGCGTTTTTATTACAATTTACGTCGTTACAAAGCCTAACATATTCGGTGAAAATATAAACGTTTGATAGCGTGCAGATAATTATTCTTACCGGGAGCTAGTACAAGCAGCTCGCTCAGCGGGCGACTCAGCTTCACTGAACCTAAAGTCTCGTGGGCATAACCCACGTGCGAACACGGACTGCACGCGCAATTTACGGGCCTCAAAGCATCGCTATTATGTAGAGGGTAATGTCCGACCTACTTAAATTACATTCGAAGTATTGGGAATATTTCTGTTATCAAAATTAAATGTCAAAATGACAAAATGAAGGTGTTATTTTGAAACTGGTACACATCGCTCCATTCCTGAAAAGTAACGGAGCGAACAGACAATGGAATGACGTCACAAATGTAATTTAATGATTTGTATTACAATGGGGTATGCACATTAAATGAAATACCGATCGAGAACAAGTTGGGTTGGTCTAAGTTAACGCTCATCATGTTCCGTACATGTGTTTGTTTCACTGTTCCAACTACTGCACTTACCCCCTTGATAATGATGAGTTTTATGGAGAAGCATGTACGATGTGAATGACCTCCCCCCCCCACACACACACACACCCCACACCCCTAAAATCAAGAGTTTCTTGAAAATGCTAGTAACTATAAAGAATAATGTTTGATAAGTCTTTGTTTTTGCAGATACGCGAGGAGCCATGTCATTATTGATTGTGTGTTTAGTCGCCTGTTAATTCATTATATACACATGGAAAACAAGTATCGCCACATCCCATATTCCAGCTATAAGGCGGCGGTCTGTAGATAATCGAGTCTGGATCGTGGCTTACGACTGGCATGGGTTGCTGAACACCAACTCTAATCCGTGTCTTCACGGTGCCTTAAATACCCACCTGGATGTATTCCCTATCTGGCAGGGTTATATATTGAAGAGATATAATATATTGCAGCACTGGCCAAATGGCCGTCTATAACCACCTCTGAAGCCAGGTTACATTGACCTGAATATATGCATATTTGACGGCAGAATTTAAAAAGTAATTTCAGCACCCTTTCTCTATTTACCCTACCCAGCCATAACATCGACCTCGCTATAGTACTAGTGTAATAGGCCCATGCAGGAGGCAAATGTACTGTAAGTCCCCATGGTCCCTAGTATGGTGATCTACCTTCAGTTGTTAGCGATCTATAGCCCATTTTTATATTGTGTTGTCCCCTATAGTTAAAATGTTTTAGATTCAATTACTAGTTTTACATATAAATCTGTGATAATCTAGTTATTTTACTGTCTCTCGTTGGCAGAATTTTATAATTTCACTTAAATTGTTGATATATTTATAACTTGCTTTAGTCACGATATGGCTGAAATATTGCCGATGTGACTTAAAATCTTAACTCACTCACTCACTCACTACTAGTGTAATAGCTTCCATTGATACAAATAGCGTGTCCTGAAATGGCATTGTGTATTTGTGTGATTGTGCATTCACTGAACAGACCAGTTTGTTGCATTCATACCTTAACCACCCCTAGTTTGCTTTCATGACCAGGAGAATTTATACGGGCGGATTATTCTATGGTCTTGACGTCTGTTTTCATATTTGCTGTTCCTGAAATCCCTATACACGATATTGTCAGACGTTTCGCTTTTCGTGGTAAAGTGACAGAAGCCCTTTCCCACTTGATAGCTATTCGACAGCACGGTCGATTCGGCCCAGCGACTTCTGTCTTTTGAAGTCCATGAATCGCATAGTCTAATCTCACATGATTTTGATATATGGTCTCTCGTATCTGTAGGCAAGTTTACTTATGTACGTTTTTCACTGAGCAGGGGCTTTGTCTCGATCAATGTAGATACCTCTTCTGTACTTATGGTCATTGTTTTCCCTTATGGTGTACCGTCTTCCTTCAGGTGCTATTGGTCTAATTTTTTTTGTTAGAGTTATATGTATAGTCCGCGGCCCTTATTTCTAGTGATCCACGAGTAGAGGTCATATAATTTCCGAGTCTCGTGATTGTATTCGAACCAGGGACCTTCTGTGAACCTAGTCAGCAACCTAGGACTGGGTAATGATATCGTCCATGGGATGTCTCCGCGCCCTTCTACACAGGAACAACTAGATAGCCTAGTAGAAGTCAAGTATCCATAACTGTCGGGCGTCACGTTACTCTTCAGGTCAGGCACCTGTATGTTTTAGAAGTCTGAAAACTCCATTTCAACCCTAATGGCATCATTCTGTTACACGATGCTTTGATTTAATGATTGTTCGACTCATGTTAATTGTTCAATAGACATATTTTAAGGACAGGTTCAGTGTTCAGATCATTTCTCATGATCAAATTAGTACCCATGCAGAGGTTTCTCGCTGTACAGATTTGAAGAAGTTATTTTGCGACGATGTCGTATTGATCATATACTAGATATACTCCATCCTCGATCATCTCCAGGGTATACGTTACGATCACTCTCCACTATACATTGGATGCATCCACGGCTTGGCCCGATAATTATATTACCTCCCTTTGCTGGTTCCGCATTCTCACAGTAGCCAATCAGCTAAGCCGCCGTTACATCCGAGCTTGCCAGTGTCAACAAAGATAGCCGTCGCAGGCGCGAAGGTTTGTTCGCAGTGCCACTCATATTTTGGGGAAATCATACAGAAAAAATGACAGATCTTAAACTTTTAAAAAATATATGAAAGAACTCCTTCTACCTCTTTCAGAGTACCCAGGGGCGGATCCAGCTTTCTTTGAAAGGGGGAGTGCATACTATTGAGAAAAGGGAGGGTGCACATTTCATTTTCATCCGAGTTTCAATGGTCATTTAATAAACTTTCAGGACAAAAGGGGGTTGCGCACCCATGCACCCCTCTCTGAATCCGCCTATACGTACCTCTGCATCAATTGTGTAGCCAAGTTTTAAACAGTTAGATAATTTGATAAGCGATAGTGTGATTGGTTCGCTCAACTTCCCAGCGTAGACACCTGATTGGATAAAAAGCCAGCAAAGGGACGTAATAAAATCATCGGGCCAAACCGTGGATGCATCCAGGGTATAGTGGAAGTGATCGTAACGCATACCCTGGAGATTATCGAGGATGGATATACTCATGAGTACCTGTTGTTGAAAGCTGAGCATCCTCCATTCTGTATCCCTTGTGATGAGGCGATCACGGTCAAGCATGGTCTGCTTGACAGTATTGATTTTTCTGTCACAAGGGAGGATCAATAAAGGATCTTTTTAATCAGGTCAATTATTATTTAATAATTGTTTTTTAAAGGAAATTGAATCGTTTGAAAAGTTTGGATAAATATCTTTTGTAAATATACTCATGCCAATAATGGTTGTCAGTTTGACTGTCACATGGAGACGTGTGGTGGCGCTGAAGTCGATACCTCGTGTGACCACCGTGGGCATCCAGAACTGCAAGGCATCGCCTCGGCCTCGAACGAATAAGTCTCAGAATCTCGTGTTGCCCAATCTGCCTGTAGTGCCTGTGCGAGTTGATGAAGTGTCTGGGGCTGAGGGTTACGGCGTCGCACCCGTATGTCCAGGGCATCCAACAGATGTTCGATCGGGTCCGGTGAGGGCCAGAGGGTGCACATTCATGTTGTGGTTCTGGGGGAAGTCTCTAGTGTGACGTGCTGTGTGGAGCCTGGCATTGTCCTGTTGAAACAACTCTCTCTGGCGATCAATGATTGGAAGGAGGTGTGGGCGTAGGATTTCGTCACAGTACCGTTGAGCTGTCAGGTTGCCCTGGATCATCACCAGATCACTTCTCCTACGGCGGGTGATCGTCCCCCACATCATCACACTTTCCCGGTCGAATCTGTCCACCTGGGGAACGCAAGCATCGGCGAAACGTTCACGTCGACGTCTATACACCCGCATTCTTCCATCGCGTCGTTCCAATAGAAATCGTGATTCATCAGTGAACCAGATTCTACGCCAATTCGGTAGGTTCCAGGCCTGAACGTTGGTGCACCATTGAACGCGATGTCGACGATGTTGTTGTCGAACGGGGATTTGTCGAGCGGTACTGGTCGCCGTAGCTTCCCGATGACGCAGGTGATGTACCCGGATGTAGCGATCCTGCGCCGCAGTGGTCGCTCGAGGTCGCCCACTACGAGGGGCATCTGCTACCGCATTCTGCCGGCGATATCTCCCCCAGAGCCGTGAAATGGTGCTTTGGTGAACATTCATGCGTCGGGCAACTGAACGTTGAGACTGGCCAGCTTCAAGCAAACCAATGGCGATATGACGGTTGGCTTCACTTAGACGTGGCATTTTGCGTTCGTCAACAATATTCCAAATACAGTGAATAATCGACAGACAGCGATCAACCTTTTATACCCATCATTGAGACTATCTGATCCCCAACTTTCACGTGCATTGCATGTGAATTGTGTATCCTGTGACACTTCACGCCGAAATTGAAAATCTTGCTGTTAAATACGGGTATTGTACGGATGGTGCGTTTTCTTGTGCTGTTTTACAAGATAAACACCATAGGACTCATAAACAGAGCAAAACCTTTTGTAAAATGAATCACGTTTTAATTCATTGCTACATGAAATTGCTATTTTCATGATGCGTTTCTTTTTTGGGAGAGTATATATTATCTTTCACTGTGCCACAAAGTTCTAGTTAGACAATGATTGTGAATTATAAGTCACAAACAAAACACTTTTTAAAATAGTAATGATGCTTTTTTTTTGCATAGCTGAGCAAATAGAATAACTTTAGTACTAATATGTTTAGGAACGACCGTACCAAGTGTATACAATTTCGATCCTAAAAGGAATGTAACTTCCACAACCATCTCACTGCAGATTTTTTATTTGTGCACTAAAGTCATAAGCTGAGTTATCATAAACTGTACATGATATACCAAACTATATTTCTTACAGCTAGTTACAAACATATTGAGATCGGGGTACTTGTATTGTAATGTAATATGGTTGTTAGATAAAACGACTTGATAAAGTGTTATGCAATCTTGCAAACGATGAATTTAACTGTGCTCCAAATGGAAATCAATATTGATTTTATGACTGGGTATGGGGACGTGGGATAGATGTTTATGAGAAGTGGAGTTGTTTCGGGGTGTTTTCTTCATTTTGAGATAATATGTGAAGTCATGAAGGTCGCACAACACTTTCCCAAAAGTAAAAAATGAAGTGAGTGAGTGGTCTTACCCAACCT